GTAAGCTCCACAGGGCAAGAGTTTTATTTGTTAGTCATCATTGTACCATCAGAGTCTTAAACAATGCCAATTACAAAGTAAAAGTACGCAATAAAAAGCTGTTGAATGAGCAGATTAATTCATTTTTATCCTTCACCCTGCTCATATGCCTCAAAATCAGATTGTCCTAAGAGGGAAAAGGGGAAAGGGACAATTCTATGCTCCCAGAAGTAGCACAGATTTAGGATTTCATTCCGATAACCACCTAAGTCACAAAGTCCAAACAAGGCTACTTCACTTGCTGGCCAGAAGTCCACAAGCTCCTAGACACGGTCACACTATCACTGGTTCACTCACCATTCATGCGCCAGATCTTGACTTGACGGTCGTCCGCCCCAGACACAATGAGGGGCATAGTGGGGTGGAAAGCAGCCCAGTTCACTCCACGATCGTGGCCCTGTGGAAAACCAGACGTGTCTCTTCTACAATGGCCTTATCACTGCTGACAAAGCAAATCAATGAACCGTGCGGGTGGTTATAAAAGATGTGGCTGATTATGACTCTTCATATGACAAGTCTCAAGGGACTGTGCTGTGCTAAGATACTGAACATGCAAGTTACTATGTCAACCTACCCAATAGTACCCTCAAAGCGGCTTGATTTATCGAGAACTCCTTTTTTCCCATTTGCAAAATGGAATTAAGAATTTCTATTTCATATTCAAGAGGGAAATGGACTACAAAGGATGGAGATTTGATGAGACAATGCGAGATCTGATGAACCACTGAATGTAAAACTGATGATCTGCTCTGTAAACCTTCACCCAATTTATAATAAAAAGTTTAAAAAAATATCTACTTCAGTGAATAGCCGAGGATTAAATTAGTTAATAAGAGAGAACATGTAGTTTCATTTCCCTAAACTTTTCTATTTTCCCATTAAGCCAGCAAGTTACCTACACTTGGTTGGTTCTCAATAACTGATTAAATTACTTTTCCCTCTTCCGAGAGGCTTGAGAATGGATTCTGCTTTTAGATATTGATGGAGCTCATGCCCAGCTCGCTCGCTCTCCCCATTGGTTTACACGGCAGTTCAAGGGGCCTCAAAAAGTTCATGGAAAAAGGGAATTAAAGGGCAATGGGATTTTTCCACAAACTTTTGAAGCCCCTTCAGGTTGCATGGAGGCTCCATTTCTTTGTTAGCGCGCTTACGACTCTTTTTAGTCCACAGAACAATGGCTGACACTTAATAAGCAGATTGGAGTCACAGACATGTACTGCAGGAATGAGGGAATGAGCAGTATTTTGTCACTGTTTCCCAGAGAAGAGCCCATGTCCAGCACTGGCTGTAGAGATAAGTACCTCCAGTACATGTTTCACCACTGCATCCGTAGTTCCAAACAGGTCAACACCAGTTATTCCTCTCACATCTGACTCCACCGCACCAGGGGACAAGTTTTTTTTCCTTAGACCTTTGAAGGGGTAACAGGGTAAAGTGCAAACAAAATGTTATCAAAAAGAGAACAGTATCAAAAGCACAGAAAGGTACAGTGACAGACTGACATTAAAGCAGCAGGAAGGAAATAAGAAACGAAGAAAGGGGTCAAGGGGAAGAGAGAGAAAGAGTTCAGAGTCTATCTCTGAAAATGTTCAAAACATGCCAAGTGCATATCACAATTGGCTCCTGTTTCCTCAACACTAACAACAAAGCAACCACCGATCCTTCTGGATAGGTATTCCAAATTCTGAGTCAGCTAACCTCAAGAGCTACTGACCTGCTGATATTCTACTATTCCAATGCTCCTAAAATGTGATCTCAAATGGTAAACATTTGAACCCCACTTTTAATTTCAGGAAATCTAACTTTTCTTTCACTGTTTCAAAATTTATTTAAAGAAAGACATCTGGGAAGCATGTCAGCTCAATATTCCTCAAATTCAAAGTCTTGTAAGTGATTCAAAAGGAAGTTCCAAATGGGTTAATGAAACGACCTGTGAAGTACAAACCAGCTATTTGATAGAAGCTATTATAACTTTGAACTACTTAAGAAGTACCCTCATACCTTCTGTTTGATTTCTAGGCTGGTTAAAAGTCTGACCATTAAAATGTTGGAGGCTGTTCTCACTTAGGAAGAACTAGTCCATAAGTTTAAAACGTGGGGAAAAGACGAGAATAAGAAAATTCTTAAGTATACAAGACCCACACTTATGGCTCAAGTATATCCATTATTAAAAGCTATTTGTGATATAATCATGACAAAAATTATGACAATAGTAAACTTAACTATGATAACATGAAAGGGACTATCTTACATTTGAAAAGTATATTGTGGTTTCTATAGCACTCTTACATGTGATATGACTTGATCTTGAAAATCCTTTGAGGTCGGCAAGCCAGATAAAATTACACCAGTTAATAGATGAGAAAACAAAAATCGGAGCTAAAATTCTACCTTTTGAAGTGTTTGGGAGTGGGGGTTGGGGGTGGGAGATTAAACTACCTACCACTAGTAAAAACTATTTTCTATAGTAGGAAAAACACCTATCATTATCATGGAAAAACCTAAGTAGTTTCAAACTAAAAAATTGCCACCTATAAAAAAAGTGACAACTTAACTTCAACAAGTGTATTTGTACTCATCATTTAAAAATATTTCTTCTTCTATGACAGTGACAAACATCAGCACCGGAGGTTAAAAAGGTATGGCAGTTTTACATATCATGTCCCCAGGCCAAAATGAGCATTTATGCAATAGGTAGGAAGAAATAAAAGCTGATGCCTTTAAAAAAAAAGCACACATTCAAGAATTCATAAATACATCATCATAGGGATGCCTCCTCTCACTTATTTCACTTGTCCCTTTAATGGAACCTGTCAACTTTTCTAATGAGTCTGGTTTATGAAACAGATTCAAAGGAAGACACAAAGACAGACAGACAGCTGTGAAGAATTTCACCTCCAATAAGCTTCAACAAACACATTAAGAGGGAAAGCTGTATGACAGAATGAAAGCCTCTGTGGCACTTGCGGGTAATGATCCAAGAAAAGAGGAAGGGCAAAAACAGACAGATGAATAGTGACAGGCAGTGAAAAAATACTTCAGGGAAGAAATATTTGAGCCTTCGACAAGCCACTCACTAGGACTGAACGGCAGATGGAAAATTTCTAGAGCAGCTACCCAAATCCAGAGGGAAGAAAGAGTACTCTCAGAATGGACCAGTTTGATGCACATCTCCCACTGGGGACCAGAGGAAACAGTAAGAAGAGAGGACAAGGACAGGATCTGGCAGCATATTAATATACTTTTAGTAGCCATTTCAAAGATTGAGCCTGATTACATGGGCTTAGCATGCAAAGTTATAAGCACATCAGAATAACTGTCAGTTTACATGGAAGCTCAAGCTAACCAAGTAACCTGTCTTCTGTATCTAGCTTACAATTATATTCCCTTTGAAGCAAATAACTTTTGCCAGGGCAACACAAAAGATTACAGTTGAGCTAAGCCTCCTGGGCAGGATCCTCATGGGAGAGGTATCATGGGACAGGTTTGCTTAAAATGATCTCTGTGTTCCCTTACTGTTTACTCAGTTCAGAGACTATGCCCTTTCTAAGAGAGACATTCAAAGACATTAGGGTTTTCACTAAATTTGGGGGTACATGTTCTCTTCCTCAGAAACAACCTCCCCCTCTTAGAAATCTTAGTTCTGATCTCTAACAGACTTGAAAACAAATTTTTTTTCCCTGTGTTCAGTGCTTATTTGAACTCAACCCTTCTAAAAAGAGTATACCGTAGAAAAGGAAAGAAGAGTGTAAAAGTTGAACCCCAAGCTCTTTCCACTTGGTTAAATACCAAAGCATTTCCTTCCACTCTGGTTAAAGGGTTACTAGAAGTCAAGAGAGTTGGGGATAGAGGAAAAACACTTACAAATAGTAAAAGAGACCATTAATATTAGTACAACAAATTAGCATGAAATTCTCACTACCACATATACTGAACATAGCAATTACAATGTTATTATATAGTAATCCATGCACTTCACACATTCAAGAGCAAGTATAAATCCTATTGGACTCACACTTTCTTCTCTGATCTAGGGCCCTTAATTCTGATGCAAAAATGTTCTCTGCCAACAAAAGGTGAAGGCAAGAGTTACTTGCCATGGTCAAGAACAAGAAACCATCCACCTGAGGTCCCTAACTTGTTTTAGTTATACTATAGGGAGCACAGTGTGCTAATAGGTGTTACATACAGCACTTTTGGAGGGGAACAATATAAAGCCCATCTCAGTCTGGTGTTCTGGAAAGTGATTAAGCCTTAATGCCCAAAAGCATGGGTTTAGGTATGGAATGAATTAGCTTCTCTCCTATGAGCTAGACCAGGAGTCGGCAAACTGAAGCTTGAAAGCCATATGTGGGTTTTTTTATATGTACATGTGGCTCTGAGTAAAATTTAAAAAATTTAAAGGATGGTATTCAGATAATGGTGATTTCATTTGTTTGTAAAAGATATTTATGGCTCCTGAATAATGTTTAAATTGCTGTAAGGGACAGGATTGGTTCTTCCATCTCCGAAGTTTGCCAACCCATGAACTAAGCCAATGTGTCCCAAAGTGGGAGATACTGCTCCCCGTGGGGGGGAGGAACGAATAAGGACACTGGAATGATGGGGTGGGGGAGGAGTGGCTGCAAAAGCAGATACCTATACTTTATCCTACATTCTGGGCTATAGTATAAACGTTTTTCATTGCTGGGGGAGCAAGAGTAATTTTTTTCTTCCCTTTTATTTTTCTGTTTCTCTTTAAGATATGGAATGCTTCGTGATTTTGGGGGAGCCCTTGAAGCATAGTGGTTATGTATTGGGTTGCTAATAGGAAGGCCAGCAGTTCAAAACCACCAATTGCTCTGCAGAAGAAAGAGGAGGCTTTCTACTCTCTTAAAGTATTAACAGTCTCGGAAACCCACTGGGGCAGTTCTACCCTGTCCTATAAAGTTGCAAGAGTTGGCATTGACTGGACAGCAGGGAGTTTGGTTTTTGGTTTCACAAACTTGGGTTTCCCCTTGGCAGGGGCCATGCTAATTTTCTCTATACTGTTCCAATTTTAGTACATGTGCTGCCAAAGTGAGCACCGTAATTTTGTTTTCGGAAAAGAGGGCATAGGCCAAATAAGTCTGGGATCCTAGGAAGTAGTATCACCGATACGATACTCATGGAAGAACTGAGAAAGGTCATTCGAAATATTTTCTACAGGGTTTAACTCTTTCACAGAACCCCAGGTGAGAAAGTCTATTATTTTAAAAAATTGCCCCAGATCAGAGGAACTAGCATGAGGCAGGATCCAACTCCACCAGACCCCTATATCCTGAGACAGAGAGGGTACTTTGAATGTGTGCAGAGTAAAACACCATAGTGAGCCATAACTAGGTTACTGTGAGAGCTGATGCTACGATCCCTGGGATTGGCAGTGAGAAGACACAGACTTATACTGCCTATGCCTCGCTCCTCCTGCCGGCATGACTGGTCACATCTGGGTACACTTCAAAAAGCCTAGTTAGTCTGACAAAAAACTGCAATGGCAAAACCCTTGGAAGACAATAGAACTGACCTTCCTGTGTCCAGTGCACCCTTGTCTACACTAAACCGAAACAAAACACATGCTCTCACGCCAACTTCGACTCATATCGACCCTACAGGACAGCGTAGAACTGCCCCTCAGGGTTTCCAAGGCTGTAAATCTTTACAGAAGCAGATTGCCACATCTTTATTCAGGGAGTGGCTGGTAAGTTTGACCTGGCAACCTTAGGTCAGCAACCAAGGACTACTGTGCCACTGCAACACTCCTTCCTAATTTCGAGCTGCAAAAATGGTAAAGACAACATGGTCTAGAGGGTCTATTCACCAGCTTCCCTATCTCCGCTTGACTTATCTCTCCCATCCAAGTACTAACCAGGCCCAACCCTGCTTGGCTTCTGAGATCAGACAAGATCGGGTGCGTTCAGGCTGGTATGGCCGTAGACTGCTTGATTTCTATGCTACAAGAATATTAAAATAACTGCCAGTGCGACATTCCAGTGCTACATCTGGGAATCCAATTTTTCTACTGGTTGCTGATTAATGGCACATAGAATAGGAAATAATTCATTGTCCAGCCTACCACACAAGAAGATAGTTGGAAAAAGTTTTCTCTAACTGTACAGTATAGAGAGGTTTCAGCTTTACTACCAAAAGAATTCAGCAAGGACCTACGAGGGGGCTTTCTTCCTATGGAATGAAAGCACTTCCATAGTCTAGCCACTAACCTTTCAGAGAACCCAATCTCAAAGAATTTCTATGGCAAAAAACAATAGATAAAAGACAATTCAGCAAGTGACACATAAATGCCATAGATCCTCCTTTCACTTTCCCAACACCTAACAAAACACTTCCATTTATCCAGCATGCCTGTATCATAAATACGCTCCTTTCTCTGCATTTAAATTTTCTAATCTTCCAGATCACTGCATATAGCACTAAATCCTCAAATCATCTCAAAATCAAGACAGACTCTAAAGGAGAAATTACTCCAAATATCCAAAATCAATGTTACTTAATGTCTGGTCCTAGAAGTTTATCTGTTAAAAGTCTGTCCATTAAAAGGTATTCTGGACATAAAAATAAAAACACACACACACACACACACACACACACACACACACACACACACACACACAATGTTCCTACATGAGGCCATAGGATCCCAAAATCCTGTTTCCTTGTGCTAATTTACTCTCAAAAATAATTTTGTTAAACATGTACTTTTAGTGGATAGCTTCACTTTTAATCAAACATATGAAATTATAGATTTGAACTATTTAACAAAAATCTGACCTAAAAAGTTAAAATTTCTTCAAATCAAAGACACTTCTAAGAACCACTTTTCTTAGTGAATATCTCCAGCATAAAGAACCACCAGATCAGACTCAATATCCGAAGAACAGAGAAGCTATTATACAATGGCAACAGAATACCATAGCTATTCCTCTCCTAAGCCAGCTACCCCACTTCGAGCAATTGCAGTTTTTTGTCAGACATGACTAGGTTATCCCTGAACTTGGGTAGCTCACCAGAAATATCCCAAACGCGTACAGTCTGGTCCAGGCTGGCTGATACCACCAGGTCTTCTGAGGGGTGGAACTGGGCACACATTACATAGTGGTTGTGCCCTGTTAACACACTGCAAGAAGAAAAAAGACAATACCAAATTAGAATCAGCCATCAATGTTAAATACCATATCCAATATCTAATCTAATCATATTTTCACCAAAGACAGATCATCTAAACAATTCTGAACTAATAAACATGGTCAGATGTTTTTAACAATAACTCTTCTTGGCTTTAATGCTTCACGGTTTCACTACTAGTAATTTTAGAAAGGAATCCTTGGGTGGGACAAATCATTAAGTGTTTAACTACTAGCCTACAAGTTGGTGGTTCAAACTCACTCAGAGGTGCCTTGAGGGTCAGGCCTGGCAGTCTGCTTCCCAAAGAAGTTCTATCTACTATGCACACAAAGGGTCACCATGAATGAGAAATGTCACAGCGGGGCCTAATAATAACAATAATTTTAGGAGGACCAAGACTGCATTGCTCTCTTCTCAGATTGAAGATATATTTTAGAGTGGTATGCTTCTTAAAGGGCATCATTTTAAACGGTCCTTATCTCATTGTGGAAAGCTCAATATAGATTCCAACCACACAGTAGGGCAGCTCTAGACCTTGACGCAGGATTTATGGCACTGCAACTGAAAACCATCAACAGTTCTTATTCTAAAAGCCTAGCTATGACATCCTATCCCTGTAAGGAGTGACTATAAAACCTAGATCTAGACATCATTAAGAGATTATGCTTATCGTTTTGTATTTAAAAGCATCTTATAATCAGTACTTAATCTGCAGGCAAAGCCACTTTAGGACAGAAGATAGCTGACAATGAAAAAAACAAAACAAACAAACAAAAAAAAACCCTAAGACTTGTTGAGTCCTCTGTCTCTTTACCAGACACAGGTCCTAGATTGCCAGTTCCACACTCGGATGGTCTGATCATCGGAGGCACTCAGAATCCAAGGATACTCCTGTAAGACATTCCAGACAAAGAAGGACTTAGACATGAAATCATTTACACGGCCAGGTCCCTATAGTCTTTTCTCTCAGAAGGGAGTAATCATCGCACTGCCTACTATCTCAGTTATATTTGCAGGGAGGCTGCTGCCTTTGATAACAGGCTAGTTGGCTTCTTACCAACTAGCTTTGGGCACTTTGACCTCTACGATTTAAGAATGGAAGCCAGATAAAAAGCCTAAGAGATTCTCAGAAGCAACAAACAATACAATCTATATTTATATTACATTTATATATAGGTATGTTACAGGTCTATTTATATATACAGTACTCTTTGTTATAGATCTATTTATATATACTCTTATAAATTACAATTTATATAAACATATAGTATATATACACATACACACACACACATATATGAATTACATTAATTATAAATTAGGGATTCATGGAAGAATTGTCCCTCTTTGACTCTCGGATAGAAATGTTTTATAGTCTGACTTCTTCCTGTCAATGATCCAGTCCCAAATTTTCTCAAGCCTCAGTAATCAGAGCAGAAAGTAACATATAAAGCCGATTAAGCTTTTCTGAAACATGGGTTTGGATTTATGGCAGGTCCGTCCCTGTGCACCTCTCATAGTGGCCCATGTCAGAGTAAACTGCAGCCCCGACCACTTCCTGGCCCCTTTTCCCATAGACTTCAGACACTGACGCAGGTTACACAATGGAAAATAAAGTCTTAAACTTGCTGAGAAAAGAAAGTATTTGCTTATTCACAGGTGTATTTTTAGTATTTAGCACAGAGCTAAGCAAGTACAAGGCACACATATACAAGGGCAACTCAAAAAGCACTGTTAGAAAATCAGAGACTTTTATTAAACAAAAACATCAAAACGTGACACACTTGCTTCTCAACTTATCCTCCATCTACATCCACATACTTGTGAAGGCGGTGTTTCCAGCTCTCTTACCCTTTCTTTTTTTTTCTCTTACCCTTTCTTGAAGAATTCCACCCTCTGTGGTTTATACCATGCCAAAACAGCTGGAGGGAGGGACTCAAATCCTGCGGCTTTTCAATGCTCTTTGAGTTTAGGAACAAAAAGAAGTTTTGATTTCTTGTCTGTAGGGGTCTTATCAGGGCTTCGGGGTGAATGGGGTAAAGCTTCCAATAGGACAGTCCTTGCTACGCTCAAAAAATGAGCAGATGCATTGTTATGATAGAAAAAATTCTCAGCACAATTAATTTGGGTGTCTTCTCATCGATGCAGTTTTCAATTTTCATAAAACTTCTAAGAAGCCATGATCATTCTGTGTCCTTTGAGAAAACCTATCAACCATAGTGAATGATGTGGGGAGTGCGAAGTGGAGACCCAAAGCCCATTAGTAGGCCACTGGAGATCCCCTTGCAGAGGGGTCTCGGGGAGGAGACGAGCCAGTCAGGGTGCGATGTAACAACAATGAAAAATACAACTTTCCTCTAGTTCCTAAATGTTTCCTCCCCACTCCCACTACCATGACTCGAATTTGACCTTGCAAGTCTGGCTAGACCAGAGGATGTACACTGGTACAGATAGGAACTGAAAATACAGGGAATCCAGGGCAGATGAGCCCTACAGGACCAGTGGTGTGAGTGGCGAAACAGGGAGGGTAGAGGGAGAGTGGGTAGGAAAGAGGGAACCGATTACAAGGAACTATATGTGACCTCCTCCCTGGAGGACGGACAACAGAAAAGTGGGTGAAGGGAGACGTCGGACAGGGCAAGATATGACAAAATAACAATTTATAAACTATCAAGGGCTCATGAGGGAGGGGGGAGCGGGAAGGGAGGGGAAAAATGAGGACCTAATGCCAGGGGTTTAAGTGGAGAGAAAATGTTTTGAAAATGATGAGGGCAATGAATGTACAAATGCGCTTTACACAATTGATGTGTGTATGGATTGTGATAAGAGTTGTATGAGCCCCTAATAAAATGATTAAAAAAAAAAAGAGAGAGAAAACCTATCAAGAAACTACAAATAAAACCCTTTGTAGTCTTCACAAAAAAGTCACCAAAATTTTTTAAGCTGACCTCTCTTCCATGAATTTATCTGGCTCAGTAGATTCCCTTGGAAGTCACTTTTGATTGAATTTTGCTTTCTCGAACTCCATTTTGCTTTCTGGACAAATTCAATACTTGTGCCCAATTTACTTCATAGAATCATCTTCATTATGTGTTTGATCTTACTTAAAAGACTAAAGGAAGATCAGCTCTTGGGGCTACCTGATGTTCATGCAACACTTTTGGCATCCATCACGCTCAAAACTTGCTGAGACCACGATGCTCCATTACTATTGAACATCCTGAAAGTTGTGAGATCCCAACTTCAGTAGCTGTCACATCAACAGTAATTCTACGGTCATCCTCCATCAGTTTCCAGACCTTAGCCACAGTTTGCTCATTTGTTGAGGTTGGCAGTCTTCCTCCTCTGGGATAATGTTCAAGGTCTTCTCCATCTTCCTTAAAACACTTGATACATTTGGGGGCGGGGTGCAGCATTCCCATAAATTACTTGTAAAGCTTTAATGATTTGGGAAGATGTACACTTTTGTTAAAAATTAGGCACTAGCTCTGACCTCAACACTGTATTTTCCCACAGCACAAAAAGTATCCTTTTCTAAAAACAAATCCTCAAGAGACTAAAACAAGTGAATTTTTTTTTTGAAACAGGAATTTTACTTAAATGATAGCTTAGTATCATGACTACATTAGAACTGCTGTAGTATTCTATCATAAGAAGCTGTCAAACATTGTCTATTCTTAAAAGCAATGTTGAATACCCCAAGTATATTACTGAATTTTTTTGTAGCTAGCCACTGATCACAAAGGCATGTTATAACACATTTTGTTTGAATAAACCTGAGTATGTGTGATTTGGAGCCCTAGTAGTAAACATTTTTTTTTTTTTAAACATAGCCTTGAATTTACTCAACTGAGAGAAAATAAAGTTCTTAACTTTCTAGCAAAATAGCAACTTGTAGGCAAGGGCCTTTGTTGTTGCTCTGTGGTGTTGGGTGTCGTTATGTCAGTTTTGACCTTGGTGACCCCATGAACAACAGAATAAAACACTGCCCGGTCCTGTGCCGTCCGCACAATTATTCTCATGTTTAAGCCCATCAGTGCTGTCACTGCACCAGTCCCTCTTGTTGAAGGCCTTCCTCTTTTTCACTGCCCCTGTACTTTACCAAGCATGATGTCCTTCTCCAGAGACTAGATTCTCATGACGTGTCCAAAGTATGTGAGATGAAGCCTTGCCATCTGTGTTAAGTCTGGGTTGACTAGAGAAACAAATCCAGAGACATTCATATGTGTGTAAGAAAGAGCTTTATATATAAGAGTAATTGAATATTGAGAAAACATCTCAGCCCAGTCCAGATCAAGTTCATTAAGTCCTACATTAGCCCATATGTTCGATACCAATCTATAAATTCCTCTTCAGACTCACGCAACACATACAATTATGCCAAATGCAGGACGATCACAGGCCAGTGGGTAGAAAGTCTTGTGGATCCAGTGGCAGTGGAAGCATCTCAGCGCTGGCAGGGGCCTCCCAGTGGCTCCTTCAGCTCCAAGGCTCTAGCCCAGGGATCTACAAACTTTTAAAATGGGACAACAGTTCACTGTCCCTCAGACCCATTGGAGGGCCAGACTACAGTTAAAAAAAAAACAAACAACTATGGAGGGCCAGACTACAGTTAAAAAAAAACCACAGTTAAAAAAAAACCAAACAACTATGAACAAATTCCTATGCATACTGCACATATCTTATTTTGAAGTAAAAAAACAAACGGGGCAAAAACACCCTGGGGGCTGGATAAATGTCCTCGGCAGGCTACATGTGGCCCCGGGGGCGTAGTTTGAGGATGCCTGCTCTAGCCTTAGCTCCATGTGTCTTCTCCACAGGAATGTCTCACAGGAAGTGTGTGTTTTGCCTCTAGCGAGCTATTTATCTCCTTAGCAGGTCCAAATGAGGTCATCAAGCTGAGACCTGACTGACAGGCTAAACTCCACCCCTTCACTCTCAAGTCTCAAATTGACAACAGATTACGTAACTACCACACCATCCTTTCCTCTATGTAACATTCTGGCTTCTTCATGACAGATCTATTGGTTCTTTTGGCAGTCCATGGTACTTCCAATATTTTTTGCCAGCACCATAATTCAAATGCATTGATTCTTCTTTGGTCTTCCTCATTCAGTGTCCAACTTTCACATGCATGTGAGGCAACTGAAAATACCATGGTTTCAGTCAGGTGCACCTTACTCCTCAAAGGAATATCCTTGCTTTTCAACAGTTTAAAGAGGTCTTGTGGAGCATAATTACCCAATGCAATGCGTCTTTTGATCTCTTGTCTGCTGCTTCCATGAGCACTGATTGTGGATCCAACCAACACAAAATCCTTGACAACTTCAATATTTCTCCATTAGTCCAACGAGAAAATTTTGGTCTTCTGTACACCGAGTTGTAATCCATACTGAAGGCTGAAATACTGGTTCTTCATCAGCAAGTGTTGAGGTCCTCCTCACTTTTAGCAAACAAGGTCGTGTCATCTGAGTATTGAAGGTTGTTAATAAGCCTTCCTCTTGAATCCTGATACGGATGTTTTTTCATATAAGTATACACTCCAGACTTTAATAAGACTTTAATGGCAATGACAAATATTTCCTACTAAATATCTTGAATGGCTACCATTTTCAAATGTTAGTCTTGTTATTTTCTCAATCATCCTATCCTGCCCTCCAGTACATTTTCCTTTCTGCAATAGGTAAAATTTTCTATAGAGCATATCTCCCTTTTAAATTTTAGAAAAGGAAACATTAAGTATACTCAGCTAAAAAAATTAATAACATAGCATTATAAGGAGATCCAGGGCGGTCAGGCCTACTCTGTGCCTCATTATCTAAATCTACTATGAAGCCTGACAGATCAAAGTTGGTAATAAACCCAGTGAGGGGAATAGCCCCTACTCGAGTGCAAAGGGCTAGGGGTGAACAAGATGGTCACTGTTTCAAAAAATGTATTAGCTCATCAAAATGACACCACTGTTTGACTTTCCTCGAGACACACCTCGTATTTTACCAATAATCGTCCTCATGGGCTTAGCCTGCAGACTTTTATTTGCTAGCTCGGCAAATCGGAAATCAAATCCTCCTGATTCCCTACAGAAAAACAATGGCTTCTTCACAGAACCTCCTGAATTCAGTGAAAGAAAATTCATTATAGCTTTGGGCTCTTCCTCTTGAAGGAAATGAAGCAGAAGGTCACCACCACACAAGCATAGACCAACTCCAATAACACATTTTGTTACCAACACAAGCTCTTGACGACTTAGTAGAAGATTCCTATAGTGGTAACCCTAGCTACTTACATGATGAAAAAATGTCGTGCGGATGTAGTCTAAGTGCCCAAGCAACGTGAAGAGGCAGCGTCGAAGCTTGTAATTCCATACCTGCAAAGAGGACCAGGAACATTTGAGGAACAGGACATGCGGGTCTTAGGCTTCTCAAAAGTCACATTTTCCAATAATCATGTATGCGCTTATGTTTTCGCATTTCTGAACCAGTCTAGACGCCTTGACAGGGAGTCGTGACTAAGTGTGGAGGCAAGAAGACCAGAGGTGAAAACAGTGGCCGTAAGCATAGAGGGTGAGATGGCAAGACTGGGAAAGGTTTTCCCTTGCTTGGGAAGA